TTACCTTCTGGTGATATTTACACTTCCATATACTATCATATTGTTATTTTGCATGATTTCTATTCCATTTCAAATGCTACCTTTTAACTGGTAGGTCTGCTAGTGAGTGATAAACCTGAAGTTTTTGCCTTGGAAAGGATTATCTCCTCTTCATTTTTAAAGGATAGTTTTGCAAGGTGTAGTAGTATTGTTTGGGAAATCTACTGAACACTCAACAGAGAATTTTTAGGAGAGAATGGAGCCATAAAATCAAAGAACTACAAGAATTTCATTTCTATTTTCAAAATTATCTTTGCCTTTTGGAAGCTTAAAATTATAATGATAAAAAATTAGAATGGCTCTACATGTAGAATTCTGCATTGGCTTCTTTTCTCATTGCTGTGACCAAAAACTGACAGAAGCATTGTAAAGGAAGGAAGGACTTTTGGTTCTCAATCTCAGGGAATACAGTCTATAAAGGGGGAAACACTTGGTGGAATGACTCAGTCCAAGGTAGTGGGAGCTTGCACTTTCTGCCTTTCAAATCTTGGTAGATTACGAAGCAGAAACAAGACCAGGCTATATTCCTCAAAGGCCTGTGCCCAGTGGCCCACCTCTACTGGTCATTTATTCTGTTCCAAAGGTCCCACAACCTCCAGCTGGGGACAAGTTGTTTAAACACAGGCATCTGTCAGGAGCATTTCACGTTCAAAACATAACCTCTTTTATACACAATCAATCTGGGGTCTTCTAGGTATCTTAAGTCTATTTTCCTTAGGGCTGAATCTACTTCTCAAATTTGGAAAATTCTCATCATTTTAAATAAACTTTTGAGCCCTTTTTGTTTCTTCTGCTAGAGTTCCTATACTGCACACATTGGTTACTTAATGGTGTTCAGAAATCCTGAGTAATTTTTCATTCTTTTATTTTCCTATGATTAGTTAATATCAAGTAAACTCCCAGTGTGGACACTGACTCTTCTTGCTTGAATCTGATATTAAGGCTACTGTATTTCTAAGCTCATTGTTCTTAGCTTAAGAACGTGTTTTGAATTCTACTTTGTTGAACTCTCATTAATTACTGCTTTGTCTTAAATTTGTTGTTTTTCTGTGTTATTTTATACATTAATAATTTTCTTTAGAACAATTGTTTACAGTTCTTTATCAGACGTTCATGGCTATCCACTTCTTTGCAATGACTGAAAATTTGTATTCCTTTGATGTTCTTTTTGTCCTTATACAGATGTTTGCATATTTGAAAGATTTATCAGACTATTTTTGGTAAGAAAATATCTTCACTGATGAGAAGTACAGGATCATGTGTGGCACTGGGACTATCAGTGCATGCAGAGCAATTTGAAGGCTAAATTCTAGGTTGAATGAGAGACATGAACAGTGGCCAGCAACACAGCTGGAATGCAACTTTTGGCAACTACATGGTCTTCAACAGAGAATATTATTGGCTTCTGTGATGCTCATGAGGGCAAGAGGGCAAGGGTCAGGGATGATGCTATGAGAATGTATGTGTTAACAAAATCTGGAGCCAGTTGTGTAGGTGCATGCATGTCAGGTGGGATGGTGCTGAGTGTACCTGTGGTGGTAACAGCCAAGGTAAATGGCAGACACATATGATTATAAAAGGTGGGTGGAAGTAGACATGTGGACAGTGGTACAAACTAGCAATGTATGCAATCAGCAGCAGGTAAAAACTCAGTGGTGAAAACTGGATAAAGGCACGCACTAAGTCTGGGCTACAGTCAGGGCTAGATGTGTGTGTGTGTGTGTGTGTGTGTGTGTATGCAGAGCCATGAGAGTTTGTCACAGACATAACAAGGCTTGAAAATTGGGACTGATGGTAGGTACACATTAATATACGGAAAACCAGGGTCAAGATTCCCTCTGCGACACCAGGGATGAAGTACCAGGGGGAGGACAGAGGTCTAGGCACCTGTGGTATAAGATGGCGAAAAACCAGGGGTTATGAAAACCAGGGACCATGAGGATTCATGGTAGCTGGGGGGAACTTTTGAGTTGCTCAGTAGCAAAGAGTAATGGAGTCCTCTGAAGAGTGGGTGACCTTGGAATATGGAACATAGTGGCACCAGTGTCCATATGACATAGAAATTCAAATCCTAAGTGTATACTCAGAACTGAAATCATATACCTACATAAAACCTTGTACATATTCATAGAAACACTTCATAATGCATAAAAAGTGGAAATAAAAGCTATCAACTGAGTGGATAAACAAAAAAGTAGGACCATTACCAGATTAGTTGATAATAAGAAGGAATAAAGTATTGAAACATATGGGGCGGGTCGCTTGACCCCCGACGTGGTGTGTGCGGGCACCCTGGGATCTCCGCCACACCTGGCTAATCCTGGCGTGAGTCTGGCTGCAAGCGATGTGGGGAGCGCGCCTGGGCTCCCGGGCGCACTCACTCTGGATGTGGCCCAGGGTCAGGTGTGCGTGCACTCTCCCACCGTGGTTCTGGTCCCGCTGGCTAGCCACTGGCGGGCCTGGCCGGCCGCGCCTCTCTGGAGACAGCAGGTGCGCAGACTTCTCTGATGCTGGCTGTAGCTGATAGCTACACACTTCTCTGGAGCTTTCCTCAGGATGCGAGGTTCACTGGCCACTGAACCAAGCGGGAAGAGTACGGAGACAGCGAAAGCTATGATGTCCGCAGGTCGGTAACAAGGGAGTGCGCCCCCTGGAGAGATTGGATCACCTGTAGTAAGACACAAGACTCAGGCTTTGCTCAGTCTGTGTTTACAGCTTTATTAACTGTCTCTGCTCCAGCTCCTGCTGATCCAGCTCTGCTGATCCAGCTTTCTGGGACCCAATCTCTGGGACCCCATCTCTGACCCGATCTCCGGGACCCAGTCTCTGACCTGATCTCCGACTATTAAGAGAAGACTAGCATATTTATATACCATGGGGGTAGTGGTAAAAGCTTTTAGATACTTTGTGAGATATTCTATTTACATGTGGAAGTGGGTTTCTGCTAGACTATTGTCTACCTGTAAAAATCACACACAGGAAGGCATGGTATGCATAGAGCCAAAGGCCATGTTTATGTCAAGGCATCTGTGGCGGCCACTTCAAAGGGAGAGACAGGAAAGATGCCAGAAAGCACCTTGCTATGAAAAGGAGCCCGTGGCACATTCCCCGAGCTGCATGAGCTGTCCGGTGTGAAGGGGCTTCGACTTTTGCATAACAGAGGTCTCCCAACAGAAACATGCTACACACATGGATGAATCCCAAAAGTATTATGCCAAGTGAAAGAAAGACAAGGTAAATCACATATAGTAAAAATTCAATTTATATGAACTATCCAAAATGGGAAGAAGCAGAGAGCAGGTTAGTGCTTTCCAAATGTTGACAGGAGAGGGTAGTGAAAGTGATTGCTACTGGGTATAAGGACTTACTCTGGGGTTTATAATATATCCCACAATTAACTAGTAGTTATGGTTGTAAAGCTCTGGGAATGCTGTAAAATTTGTATACTTCAAACAGTTATATCTCAATGAAGTTCTATTATTAGTAACTAAGTAAAATGTTG